GACTCAAAAGTCGAATAAACGAATCAAGTTGGGTTCAGATCTTTTGCTTGATCGCATCGACATCGATACGGCACATCACCAAATATGTACTTCCAATTCTGTTAAAATGTGCACACACTCATTCATTCATTTTCTTGTCGGCTTAGTCCTTTTATTAATCCGGGGTCGCCACAGTGGAATGAACCGCCAACTTATCCAGCAAGTTTTTACGCAGCGGATGCCCTTCCAGCCGCAACCCATCTCTGGGAAACATCCACACACACAGTCATACACTATGGAAAATTTAGCCTACCCAATTCACCTGTACCGCATGTCTTTGGACTGTGGGGGAAACCGGAGCACCCAGAGGAAACCCACGCGAAGGCAGGGAGAACATGCAAACTCCACACAGAAACGCCAACTGAGCCGAGGTTCGAACCAGTGACCCCGCAACCCCGCGACCTTCTTGTTGCGAAGTGACAGCACAACCTACAGCGCCACTGCCTCGCCCCTGTGCACACACTAGTGGAGTTAAAATGTGCACACTTTCTAGACACTGATAGATGGAGATTCGGCTGCGGGCAGAGCTGGAACAAACTGAACTGGCCCTGTAGGCAAGAGATGATCATGCCGCCCTCAAACCGATAGCGAAAACAAGAGATGGGGGTATGATTGTGCGTACGCCAGTTAGGCCCTGGCCGGTGGGGGGATTGTCGCGGACGCCACCCTATCTATTCTCCAAGCTGCAGGGAATAAAGGGTTAAAGTTCATTTTCAAAACAACAACACAGTATAGCCAACCATGTGCTGTGTTTGTTCCTGTCATTTTTGCTGATTTTTGAAACAGTAACCTAGGCTGCAGCGTGGCATTCGCCGGCCATTAGCTACTGAAGAAGCAGAGACTTTGGGACTTTGTCAGACTTTAACAGGGACTTCGTCAGTAACTCTTACAGTTCAAAAGGACCAGTTTCTTCTTCCTCCAGATCATAACATGTAAATCTCATTAAAATTGTTGCCTAGTTTTGTGTAGTTTCCAAAATATGTGTTTAATTGTGTGTTGTAACATGTAATCGCTGAGAGTGGCTTGTAATCAGGTATCGATTAAAGATCAGTGCTTGTACTGCATCTCTCAGGTTAAATCCGTATGGGGCTGTTCACATATCGCGTCCAAAACCACGTTAAAAACATGATGTGTGCTTCTTCCTTTACCGATTTAAAATGCGTTTCTGAACTGCAATCCTCTGCTGTTTGCCTTTGCTATGGCCACCATTAGCTGTTCCTCACACACATGGCGCGGTTAATTTTCAAAATAGTTCAACTTTTGCCACTGTGTGGATTAACACTGAATGTGTGTTGTTGTTACTTGGGGTTAGGGTTAAGAGTAGAGCAATATGCTGGTGTTTAACTGCATTAATTTATTGCATTCCTGCATTGGGCTCTCATATACTCTCTGGCTGCTATTTCATAGCCGTGGTGGGCTTTTCCCTGTGTCTCGTGCTAAACGCAGTCGTAACAGACTGGGTCATCGAACCAATCACTGCAGATTAGCATCTCGCTAAGGAGGGGTTTGGGAATAAATGAATCGCTGAACGAATCGTATGGGAGTCGCTGGGATAATTAGGTAAAAATAAATGCATATTATAAGACACTGAAAGTGTTTTATGACCTTGCACGCATATCAGCCTGAAAATATGACCTTTTTATATGCAAAATAGGGGCTTTTTAATTCCATTTCTCTTTAGTTTGATTATGACCTTAATCGGATTAAATTAACCAAAAATTGCTGTTTACATGGTAGACTCTTAATCCGAATATTGTCTTAATTGTAATAAAATTGGATTATTGGTGTGCATGTAAGCGTACTGAGTGTTTAACAATGGTTTGTTCTGTAGGCAAATGAAAAATAAATATTGCTTAAGAGCTATCATTATTGACATTATTGATATTTTATTTCAGGGTAATCTGATGTAGCAACAAGTAGTACAGGGGCGCCTCAAGGGTGTGTAAGTTCACCCTTTTTGTTCACCCTCTATACAAACGACTGCGGTAGGCAGCAGACAAACCAATATATTCCTAAATTTTCCGATGACACTGTACTATTGCACCTTTTCACAAAAGATGCCAGCATCATGGAATACAGAGCGGCTGCAGAATGGTTTGTCAGCTGGTGTGATGACCACAATTTGGAAATTAATGTTAAGAAAACGGAGGAGGTCATCATAGACCCCAGGTCAGTAAGCGATAGGAGCTCTATTGTGGTTTATGATAAAGACATTAAGTAGGTTGATTCATATAAATATTTAGGAGTGGATATTGATCGTGAACTTAATTGGCACCCTCAGGTGTCAAGTCTTTGTGCAGGAATTCATCAGCGATTACCCTTTTTGGTAACACTTTAGAATAACTATCCGTTATAACTAGTTAATAGACCATTATTAAACTGCTAGTTAACAAGTTATAAATGACTTGTTAAATAAAAGTTAATAGTTTGTTAATTATTTACAATTGTGCCTTATAGATGGGCAATGGATAACTTACAAGCAGTTAGTTAACAAGTTGTAAATGACTTCTTAACTGTATTTTAATGATTTATAACTATACCTAATAAATTATTAAGAGATCATGAACAAGCTGTTAGTAAATTACTTAATAAAGACTTGTTAAGTATCAGTTAATGGTGTATTTATGTTATTGGGACGTTATTCTAAAGTTGCAGCTATTTTTAATTTATTAACTGTTAGTAAATGAGGAATACTTTCAACTTTAGAATAACGTCCCAATAACATGCTTAAGCTAATAACTAACACTTAACTAATATATTCACTCACACTTTACAGACGAGAGTTGTTCATCGTTTGCTAACCATCTACTAATACCAGTGAATCTTTGTAGAACAGCAAATGGATGAAACAAGTTCAAGCTACAGAAATTGGATGTAATATTTAAAATATTAAATGTTTGTATCTTAACCTTGTTCCGCTCATAGACTTTTCTGTGTGCTGTGTTTTACCAAAGAAACTCCACAGATGAAATGTTAAACGCTGTGTTTAATGTATAGAAACACATATACTAAACCATCACATGGCAGAACAGCAGTATACAAGAATACAAACCCATGAAGTGTTAAACATGAAAACAAAATAAATAAAAATGTATTAAAGTTCTACAAAGTTTCACTGGTGTTATTGGATGGTGAACAACTGATCTGTAACGTGTGAGTAAATATATTAGTTAAGTGTTAGTTATTAGCTTAAGCATGTTATTGGGACGTTATTCTAAAGTTGCAACTATTCCTCATTTACTAACAGTTAATAAATGAAGAATAGCTGGAACTTTAGAATAACGTCCCAATAACATGTATACACTATTAACTGATACTTAACAAGCCTTTATTAAGTTATTTACTAACCGCTTGTTCATGATCTCTTAATAATTTATTAGGTACAGTTATAAATCATTAAAATACAGTTAAGAAGTCATTTAAAACTTGTTAACTAACAGCTTGTTAGTGATCTATTAGCCATCTATAAGGCACAGTTATAAATAATTAACAAACTATTAACTTTTATTTAACAAGTCATTTATAACTTGTTAACTAACAGTTTATTAATGGTCTATTAACTAGTTATAACGGATAGTTATTCTAAAGTGGTACCCACTTTTTACACAGACTAAGATTATTTGGAGTGAGTAGCAGCATATTTATGACTTTTTATAAAGTAACAAGAGTCTATTTTAAGATATGGGATCATTGTTTGGTTTGGGAATCTGACAATAAAAATGAAAACCCAAGTAAATAACCTGATGAGAGTGGCAGGAAAAATCATGGGAATTAAGACACTTGGTCAACTAAAAGACATCTTTGAGTTGTGCACAATCCAACAAGCCAACAAGATTTTATCTGATTCTTCACATGTGCTGTCTGTGGAATATGAGCTGATGAATTCTGGTAGAAGATATAGGGTCCCGTTGTGCAAGCATAATAGATATAAACATTCTTTTGTTCCTTTTTCAATTAAGTTGATCAACGAGCAAGTAGGGAAGGACGGTCAAAGACTAAGATAACAGGATTGGTTTGCACAACAGAGGGCAGTGGGGCACATGGTACTAGAGGTCTGCACTGACCCGACCAGATTTCTACGGCGCGGGTATAAATTTCCGAATAAATCACGGGAGCGGTCGGTAACGGGTTTAATTTGGGACGGGAGCGGGCTGTCTAGCAATATCGCTCCCGACTCCCGAGTGATCACGCGTATGTATGTGTGTAAATGAAATAGCGCGATGCTGTGTTTAGCTTGTTTGTTGCAGTGTGTGTGTATGCATGCGCACGCGCGAATGAGAGGTGTGTGTGTGTGTGTGTGTGTGTATGTGTGTGTGTGTGTGTGTGTATGTGTGCGTGCGCGAATGAGAGATAGAGCTTTGCCTGTGTTTGTGCTTGGTGCTTATGAGAGTGTGTTAGAGGGCGCACGCGAATGAGAGAGAAAGCTTTGTCTGTGTGTGTGTGCTTGGTGCTGTGCGTGTGTGTGTTTATACAGACAGCTTGTTATAGGCTGTCTGGACTGTATAACTGGGTTATTTTCGGTTTTGTTCTCCCCCCGCTCTTTAGCGGGATCAGGCGCGGCGTATAGAAAACGGGGCGGGTCGGGCAGCGGGACATCAAGTGCTTAATATAAGCGGGAGCGGTCGGGTTCCGGCTAAAACCTGGCGGGTGCGGGATTCAAAATTTTGTCCCGCGCAGATCTCTACATGGTACTTTACTTTTATAACATTTTTTAAAAAAATTTACTGATTTTATGGAATCGTATTTATATTAGGAGGTATTTTAGGATTAGATTTTAATGTGTATGTTTGTTACATGTTGTCTTGTTGGTGTCTATGTACAGCAGAACCTTTTTTCTAAAACAAATTTCTCCTACGGGAGACAATAAATTTTACCTTAAAAAGGTTATAAACAAATGAAAAACTGCTTTTATTCTAGCCAAAATAAAGCAAATAAGACTGTCCCCTGAAGAAAAAATTATTATAGAAAATACTGTGAAAAATTCCCTGCTCTGTTAAACATAATTTGGGAAATATTTGAAAAAGAGGGCTAAAAATTGACTTCAACTGTATGTAAAAATCCCCATGGCCACAGAGCATTAAGGCTAGAGCCACGACACACATGAACGACAGCTCTGTCAGGTGCACTATTTTACACGAAGGCCTGTTTTGCGCCGGCAGGGAAGATTAGCTTCTACATTCCCAGTGTGTGTCAGAAAGTGAGCGAGGCCTCGGCATCAGCACTGCTAATCCTGGCCCGTGTGGGGAAAAAAAGTGGGTGTCCGGTGTGCCAGAGACGTGTTGTGTTCCTCTGTGTCAGCGTCAGCCGCTCTGAATGTACTTCTTAATAACCACGCAGCCGTGTCTAAAGAGCGGGCATGGCATGCTCTGCTGCAGCGTCCACACATTGGCACAGGGGTCCAAGGCCTCCATGGTTCCCAGCGCCGGGCCCTCGCTGCTCACAATGCCGCCGCTCGCGAAGATCTTACCGTCCAGGACCACCGCACTGGAAAACATTATTTGAAAATTGCATTAGTGGTTTTTTATGCAAGGAGATATACAAGCTACAAACACATAAAATCACATACAAAGGTACAAATAGATCGGTACAAAATAAACACATACACCAATTTTGGTTCTTGAAACACATGTCAAAAAAAGTTGGATCAGTAAAGCATTTAACACTTTGTAATGTTGCTATTCCTTTTTCACAATACTTAAAAGACGTTTAGGGACTGAAGACACCAAGTGATGAAGTGTTTCAGGTGTAATTTTGTCTCATTCTTCCTGCAAACAAGTCTAAATTGACTTCAACAGTCTTCATTGTCACATTTTGCGCTTTAATATGCACCACACATTTTCTACTGGAGACAGGTCAGGACTACAGGCAAGCCAGTCAAGCACCTGTTTCCTCTTCCTCCGCAGCCAGGACTTTGTAATGTGCGCAGAATGTGGTTTTGCATTGTCTTGTACCTAGAAAAGAACCAGGGACACTGACACAACCTCATGCTATGACAGACCCTGGCTTTTGGACTTGGTGCTGGTAACAGTCTGGATAATCCTTTTCTTCTTTGGTCTGGAGCACACGGTGTCCTTTTCCCCTTCAAAAATACCTGAAATACTGATTCATCTGACCTCAGTACATGTTTCCACTGTGTGATGGTCCCATCCCACATGCCTCTGAGCCCAGAGAAGTCAACAGCACTTCTGGACACTGTTAACATAGGGCTTTCTTTTGTCACAGTACAGTTTTCACTGACATTTGTGGATATAACTACATATTGTGGTACTTGACAAATGTTTGCCAAAGAAGTCCTGAGTCCATGTAGTGACATCACTTCTAGATGAATGAGGATTCTTGATAAAGTGCCACCTGAGGTATTGGAGATCACGGTTGTTTAGGGTTGCGCCCTTTATGCACTGAAATTCCTCCAGATTTTTTTTAATCTTTTAATGAAGTTTTGCACTGTTGAAGGTGAAATATCTAAATGTCTTCCTATCTTTCTGTGAGGTACTTTGTTTTTAAATATTTCAATCATTTTCTCACATATTTGTTGGCAAACTGACGATCCCCGGAACATCTTTGCTCCTAAAGGACTAGACCTTTCTTGGATGCTGCTTTTGTACCAAATCATAATTACAATCACCTGTTGACATCACCTGTTTCAAATCACATCATTAACCAATTTACCCCATTACTAGCACTAAACTGCTCCTGTCCTAACTTGTTTTGGAGTGTATTGCATGTCTGACAGGAAAGGATGAATATTTACAAATGAAATGAAATTGAACAGATAAAACATAAAATATTGTGTTCCTATTGTCTGCAATAACATACAAGTCAAAGTAAACTCAGAAAGCACTACTTTCTTTTTTATTAGCTTTTTATATTGTCCAAACTTTTACAGATTTAGGATTGTAGATGGATGGATGGATGGATGGATGGATGGGTGGATGGGTGGATGGGGTGGATGGATGGATGGGTAAGCAGGCAGATGGACGAACGGATGGATAGATGGATGGACGGACGGACGGACGGATGGATGAATGGACGGACGTCTGAATGGATGGACGGATGGCTGGATAGATGGTCGGATGGGTGGATGGATGGATGGATGGATGGGTAAGCGGGCAGATAGACGAACGGATGGATAGATGGATGGACGGACGGACGGACGGACGGATGGATGAATGGACGGACATCTAAATGGATGGACGGATGGCTGGATAGATGGTCGGATGGGTGGATGGATGGATGGATGGATGGATGGATGGATGGATGGATGGAAGGACGGACGGACAGACGGAACGGATGGATGGATGGATGGACGGACGGATGGATGGATAAATGGATGGATGGGTGGATGGGTAAGTGGGCAGATGGATGAATGGATGGATGGACAGACGGACGGATGAATGGATGGATGGGTGAATGAACAGACGTCTGAATGGATGGACGGACGGCTGGATAGATAGTTGGATGGGTGGATGGGTGTATGGATGGATGGATGGATGGACGGACGGACAGACGGACGGATAGATGGATGAATAGACGGACACCTATATATATACACAGTTACTACAACTACAAAATATTACTAAATTACAACTATATTAC